ATAATAAATGCATGTGTGTGTGTGATGTGTGTTCTGTACTTGAATACTTTGATGAAAAATTCTATTGGACAAGATCCATATAGTTGATTTATTTTTGAATGTTAGGAAATGCACGAGAAAAAAGACGTTGAAAAAATGTCTAAAATCAAGAATGTGTTTGTGTGGTTCACGCAAACTTCAATTGGCTACAAGATACTGAGAGCAATAGATAGAACTCTGTGGGTCGCGCAGAAGTGCACAGAATGGAGTTTGCCCGATCACATGATCGATACACGTACGATACCCATAAAAGTTTTTTTATTGTCTCTCAACGCAGTGTAGTTCTGTCTGATTGTTTGACAATTTATCTTTTTGAAATTGATTGCATTTTTAGCATATAACAGACCGCTTTTGGAAGGAAAGGAATATTTCACTCTTGTCAGACCGTTACCTTGGATCTTTTTCTTTCCGAGTTTAATATTCATACGTTCGTTCAAAATGATACTGAACTGCTATTTAATCATGTTCGGCTATCCTCGAGTCACAGAGCTCCAAATAGTACGTGTTCGTTTGAGGTTTGCAATATAACACGTAACAATAAAAATGTCGCGTTTACTTATTATAATTTCTCACATCATCTGGCAAAAATCTAATTTTCCGGTAGGTAAACTTCATACGCTACAATCGTCAGTACATAACAAGGTACGCGAGAAAGAGTGCGAACAAAATAGAGGAGTCGAGTAAAGAGGTAAGCTCTTTTCTGAGATCCGTGAGTGACGTGTAGCGAATGCAACGGTGTGTTCCTTCGAAAAAATAATAAAATTAGCACGATAACAGTCTCGGTGGTGGGTGTAGGACAAAAGATTGCCTATGAACGAGGTCAAGCAGTCTCTGATCAGATCAATCCGTCTGACTTTGTCGAGTTTGTCTTGTCTGGATTCCAAACTTTCCGCATCACCACCGCCTACTAAAATTCATGTTGGTAGCGTCTTCGATTTTAAAGTAAGTAGAATGCATCCCCGTAAACTGACTTCGTTGATGCGTGCATGAGATAAAATTTTTGGGGAAAAGGTTTTACTACCTGAACAACAAATACCGCATACTTTTTTTTTTCTACGACCACTTTAATGAAGTAAGACACATATCTTCGATGTTGTATCTGTATGTTACTGATAACTATAGGAATGTTTGTGAATGCTTCTTATATTTTCTATGTAAAATAAAACGGTTTTTTGGATTTACGTGTCTTTGGTTTGTGTGTGTGTTTGTTTAATCTATGTCTTGAGAAAATAATGTGACACAGAAGTTATGTTTAAATACGCGAAGATACGCGAAAGATAGAATTCTACGAAAGAACGAAATAGAAAAATGTGATTAAGATTATGAAACACTTTTTTTTTTTTAAGCCAATAGTCAAAACACTGCCGGAAAAGCCAGATTCGTCGGATTCGGATTCTTCAGACTCGGAATCCTTGGATTCGGATTCTTCAGACTCGGATTCCTTGGATTCGAAGTCTGTAGTTGACGAGGCCGCCATTCCCACCAACTCCGCGAAGTCGATTGAAGAGTCAAACAAAACGGTCTCGGATCCTAAAAATACAGATGAACAGGTATTATACAAAAAGTGTGAACGAGAGTGCCACAATAGTATGGTTTTTATATTCACGAAAAATTTATTAATTTTTGCAAATTTTTGGAAAACACGATCACACATCTTTCTCGTTAAAAGATCAACTTTCCTCTCGTCTATCTTTCGATATAATATGTTTGCTTTATATTTTTTTTTCTCCTCATCACACGTGTAGTATGTTTTTACGCGACACAGGAGATTGATTCGGATATATGATTCGTGTTATCTTTTTAGGACTCGAGTACGTCAGAAGAGTGCGAAGAAGACAAAAATCTTAAGAGCGAAGATCCCAAACATAATTATTATTCTCAGTTCTTTCCTTACTATATAAAAATACAGAAAAGAAACCGCAAGTACAGCAAGATGTTGAACTGTTTTGGAACTATTCGTAAAGTATCTAGTTCTGACTTTGAATCTGAATCTGAATCTGAATCTGAAAAATTTTCGTGTATCGATGGATTAGTATACAAACCTTTCAAAAGGACTGGACTTATTCCACCGTCGCGCTACATCAACCTTGCTGGTGACAATAGCGATAAAGATACGGAAGATACGGATGATACGGAAGACATGGAAGACATGGAAGATACGAAAACTATAGATTTGATAGAACTTTTCAATCCAAATGACGACTGTTCCGCACGTACTTCCGAACAAGATTCCAAAGATAATTCCGAGAAAAATTCCGAACAGACTGTGTTCGAGCAAGTAACCGAGCAAACTTTCGAAAAGGTTCACGAACAAGATCTCGAGTGTTCTTCCAAACATGCTTCTGAAGAGAAGCAAGATACCGAAGATGCTATCAAAGTCAGCGAACAGGTATTCGAACATATCGTCGAACAAGCTCTGAACACAGAGGCTTCAGATGAAGATAAACTTGATTGGGTATGATAAAAATATACAAGAATATCCAAATATTAATTATACTTATAAAATATAGTAGCTCATCTTTTAAAAATTCCTCTTCTACATGTTCGTCTCCTATTCCCACCACTAAAGATAGATAAATAAGCCATAAAAGTTGACAGTTTTATAACTGACTTTATTCTTTTGTCAAATCTTTCTCTCTTTATTTCTTGTTCCCGAAAATTTACGACCTAATTTTCAAAAGCAACCTGGAGTTTCCATCTCTCATGTTTCATCTCTTGTTCGCTCCAAACTTTACATTTTTGAGAAGAGAGCTACTGTATTAAGAAAATGTATCTTTTTTAATGCCTTTCCATATGTCATATATATAGCATTCAGATTTGTTAATCGTTCTCGTTACTCTGTATTTTCCATTTGATTTAGAAATGACACTCAATTCGGTGACATTCTTTTTTTGCGAAAATACGCGTAAATACGTTCAATACGAAATTGTAAACTAATTTAGATACTGCTGACTAATTTAGAAATTGTCTGAGAATTGGCATGACAAGTCAGAGGCAGAGCGCCAGCTTTTCCATTCGCCGGAAAAATCGAATCAAGAAGACGATGTTACTTTCTACTCTCCGATTAATTCGGATAGCGAGCCAAAGGATCACTTGACGTCACCGTTAATTGACGAGAGTAAGTGATCTCTTACAGTTGCGGCATTATGTAATCAGAAGTCTTACCTTATGACATTTATCAATATGCGGTAGAGTACTGGCTTTTTTTTGCTTAACATTCATTTTGTACGTGCACATGTATTCGCTTTAAGTTAAGACACTAATCTGCTCGGAATTTGGTGGACACTTTGTGGCGCCAACTAACTCTCTTTAGAATCAGGTTTTTTTTTTTTTGTTTAATACCTTATTGAAAATTTGTTGCGCTTACTTAACAAAATCTGATCTCGACAGTCTTGGGCAATTCAATTAAAACGCATAGTTAAAGAAAATCTAACTACATAACGCTATAACACATTGATTGATCTCGATCACACACATTGATCTGATCTCGACAGTCTTGGGCAATTCAATTAAAACGCATAGTTAAAGAAAATCTAACTACATAACGCTATAACACATTGATTGAAGCGAAATAAATTGTTTGCGAGTGAATGCATCAATGTACGCATATTAATTATGTATATTTATAAATTCTTTTTCCAATACCGTCTCATTTTCACAAAGCCAAAGCTGTTGCCAATATTCACATATGTTTACTGCTGTACGTTTCGGAATATATATAATCGAACATCTCTTTAGATAAATTAATAAATTTCACAACTCGTTCCAAACTAACTAAACAATATTAATAATTTCGAATCAAAACTTTATATATGTATAACAAGTTTTATATATGTATATATATACACATGTACATATAATATCTGTATATATATATACATATATGTACAAATATTATACATGTATAATATGTACGTATATATACATGTACATATAGTACATATATATTATACATATATAATATTTTGAATTGGTACATACGCGTGGCGATATTTGCAAAAGACGACTTTGACGTTTCATTTCATTTAACAAATTTTATATCATACATTTTTTTATAAGTATTCCATATCATATATATTTTTACGATTATTCCTCTTGTGTTCGAATTTTTTTTAACAAACAAACGCGCTTTGCTACAAATCTCTCTCAATCGAACCAGCTTGTACCACGTTGCGTACATATACCGCATCGCTTTGTAAGCGAATGAACTATAATAACATTGACATTATTTACTTGTTCAGAGTCATTCACCAGAGATAATCTGGAAACAAGCAAGTTTATTAACGCCGAAATAAACTGGTCTATCTCGCAATCGTCATCAAAGATTCCCGGTAACATAATTACGGATTTACGCAATTTGCATGCGTTGGCTATCTTCTTTTTTTTGTCGTTTTGACAGATTAAATTACGTGTCGTTCTCTATCTTTCGGCAGAGTCGAAATCATCTGACGAGATCGATAACAGCGCCGTGGTAAAGAAGCGCAGTGGAAATGTGAGCAAACGGCATAAAGGTAAACGTTCGGGTCACGGTAATCGTAAAAGAAAAAAGTCAATTCACAAAAAAACAGAAAAACAATATCGAGAGAGAAAAGACAAAGAGTGATCGAGCGAGTGAGAGAAAATGAGAGAGAAAGGTAGAGAAGAAAAATTGAAATCTTGAATATATATATTTGGAAACAAAGCGAACGACCGAACAAGTTCGATAACTCTTGATCTTCTTAAAAACGAAAAAGAAAAAAAAAAGATAAAGGCGTATGTGCGTGCCCGTTAGTATAATATTACATCGCGTATCGTAATCAACGGTTACGCAATTGTTAAAGAATTAAGCGTTATTTGGAAGACAAGATATCGTTGTCCGCATCGTAACTGCTGAGATATATATATATATACCGATACAGATAGGCTTATCGATATAAATTCGAATAAAATCTGAGGTTTTAAAAACCGTTTCGAGCTATCGCGCTATTCTCAACAATTATTATCGCTTTATTAAATTAACACGTAAACGCGCCGTTTGGGGGTATCACATACGTACCGCGTGCTAGACTTTCTGTTCGTAACGCGTTTCATGTTTTCGCTGTTTTATTATATTACAGCGTGACATTGTATTGTTCCGTGTGAGATAATCCAGCTCCAGATATAAAAAAAATGATGAAATTGTCACTCTGTTCTGTATTTTTTGTGGAATTGTCACACTTTCGTTTTTGATTGATTGTTTATTAACTTTACAAATATGATTAGTTTTACAAATATGTGATTTGTATAAGTGAGATTTATTAATTGATATTGTTATTAACGTACAAAGATGTTTTTTCGGGTTTGAACCGCGTTAGTGTCATTTTTATACCGAACGTTTTTCGTGAACGTTACAGCTCACTTCGTCAGGGTTTAAAAAAAGAGCAGCCTGATACTTTTAACTTTTTAACTCTTTAAACCCTGATGAAGTGAGCTGTAACGTTCACGAAACGTCGGTGTAAAAATGACACTAACGCGGTTTCAAACCCGAAAAAAACATCTTTATGTATGTTAATACTACACACCGCGAAAGCATCGAATATCTGATATTGTTATTATTTTACACACGCCCCGAGCGCCACACCGCACTTTCGGGACACGTAATTAAAAACCTCAAAGTAGAAGACGAGAAACAAATCCACCCGTCGCTAAACGCGTTAAAAGTAAAAACAAATTAAAATATTAGGATTCTTAAGTAAGAAAATGTTTATATACACGTACTACATATATATATACATATATATGTACACGTATTATACACACGATCGAATTTTAATGTTAATGTTATCTAATACGTTTCGTCGAAAGCATAATTCAGCGTATACTCTGTCATCGTCACTGTTGTTATATTTGTTCGAACAATTGCCTATTTTCATAACAATGTTTATTATGATACAATTATGATTTGTGTAAAATGTAAAATGCGATGGCGCGCAAAAGAAGGAAGGAAGAAATATAAACACGCTTCCTCCGAGACACTGGCGCGCGTTGCATTTAAGAGCCAGTACTCATCGTCAAAATGTGATCAACGAGAATATATATATATATATTCTCGATGACAAAAGATTAATTCGACACGAGTGTGTCGAAGTACAACTTAATTGCGCGCGAGATTCTCGAATTAAGTGTGATCGTAACGAGATCCGGATTTAGCAACGATAAGTTCTTTTAATCTCTCGACTTGGATGGAACTTTTGCGAACACGCGCAAAATGACTAAATGCATCTATGTGTGTTCAAAGTTTTACGCAAATATTATTGTCAATTTTTTAGACGAAACATCGCGTCTGTCTCGACGATTACGTAAAACGCATATATGTGTAGTTTTTGTTATTTTACGGCAAAATGTTTAAAAGACGCGGCAAACGCGAACGTACGTCTTGCAAAGTCTGCGCATTATTATCTTCGAAACACCGCGATGAACTGATTTTTTTGCGGATACTCATTTATTTACGTAATCGCCCGCGACAGCGACTATCGCATGTTAGGTTTAAGTCGTGTAGTATAAAAAATTCACTTTTAAAATTCGTAATACATAAATTTGTATTGCGTTTGTCGATCTTTACTTTTATCTCCTTATATACTAAAATAAAATGTGTAAAAGTGCAATTTTTGAAAAAGTTTTTATACACAAATTAACGACATTCTTACACGTCAGAATTAAATTGTCGTCCTCTTAACCCTCCGGAGTTACACTTATTTATGCCACATAGCATTGGAGTTACACTGGGTGAATTTTACCGAAGCGATTTTCTAACGCTTATTACTGAGCGTTAAAACAAGCTTTTGAGACGTATTTTTCGAGCCACTAACCAGACCCCCCCCTCTCCCTTCTCCGAAGATACACACAAATGTTAGTTTCGATTCGGTAAATTTTACTCAGTGTAACTCCGGAGGGTTAAAAATGTAATACAGTTTCAACTTTTGGCCTTAGGGTCAATTATGCGTATATATATTTTTTTCTAGAAGTCAATTAAATACTCTATATTTTTTATTTACTTTGTTAAGTCAATGTGCAAAAGTAATCTAACCCTAACGCGCTTTAATTTTTTCCTAACATTCTTAATTTTTAGTATCAGTAATAATCACGTAGGTAAATAGATAAAAAGCGAAAATATAGATAAAAGAATATATTGAAGCTACCGAAAAAAACTACTCCATTGATGCGGTAAGTTTTATTTTTTTTTTTTATTTTTTTTTTACAGACTCATTCATTCTGTTATTTTTTCCACGCATCTTTTTTAACACTATACAAAATGTGTGCGAAATAAAATTATCGATACCGCGCGCTATGGTCCTAATTAATTATAAATGTTTTTTAAGCGAGTGCGTTTAATAGTGTTATTAAGATTGTGTTTTATATAACACGCTTCTTTTCTTCTCGTTATTAATATTAAGGTAATAAAAATATATTTGCTCTCATTGTCAGTTTTTTTCCCGTTTTCTCGCAACGATTTGACTTGGTCGTTGCAAGAGTTATTACGTATTCGTGAGACGAGTTGTTAAAATATTCGTTCACATTCAGTGATAAACCGAGAAACGACAAAGTAATCTAGATCAATAAAACGCGGGCATAACATATAATTGATAGCTCGTTCCGATCTCTTATCTATCTCGTCGTAGCACAAATTTTTGCGTCGCTCAAAATTTATATCAATCTCTCGCGCACGGCGATCAACGTGATTACGATGCGCGTTCGCAATTTCTTCTCACCCCACCTTTCTGCAAAAATTTATTGCAGATATCGCGAGAGAGCGTTCAATTTTTCTGCGACGCGCAACAAATCGCCCTTATCGCTTCTCGCCGCGATAAAGCGAAGATTAGACCCATATGTCATAGATTTGTCGGATGGACAGATAAAACGCGACGGTGACACGGTGTCCTGGAAATTTCACGGAGAAACTTACGCAATATGCTCGGATCGCGTTTATTTAAATCGCGTTATCTCGCGTAATAAACAACATATTTCAAACCACTCGCGCAAAATATTTTTGTCATTGAACGTCGATCGAATAAAAATTTTGCAATATTTGAATGTGATTTTTCTTGAACGATGCGATAGTTTTTTTTTTTTTTTCCCACGGAGATAATTGCATTTGTGCAACAATTGCAAATCCCGACGCACGAAGATCGGGGGGGGGAGGGGCTTATCTGCGCGTGAATTCTGTTGCATAAATAAATATATAGATAGTGAAGGAAACGCGCTGTGTGTGTTGTACTTTATCAAGCGCGCGCGCGCGCTCGTGGCAGATTCTGTTCGGTAGCACTTGTCGGTTAAGCCGCGGATACTTCACCTCGAGGGTCTCTTGTCATTAACAAATTGTGAGGTACAATGGACTCCGAGAGTCGAGTAGCAGCAACAATTAACCAATTATCTTTTTTTTTTTTATAGTTGTCTGCCGTTGGGAATTCTTATGGGTCTACAACATTTTTCGATACAATTTAAGTTTCATATAACAATTTTATATATATACACTAATTTGAAAGTGATCGCGAAATTTTAATTAAGATTTGAATTAATAATCTTTTAATTTTACGACTTTCTTTGATTTTTTTTGTGATGTTCAACGTGATAGACTCGAAACAATTTATTTAATTCTTTTTTAATAAAGTATGTTTAAGTTATTATTTATTTTATTGAAAAAATTAAAATGCTTAAAACGGAAAATTATTTTATCTCTTACATTAATATAAATAATTAATAATTAAATTTACACTTTGTGCTAAGTTGTGTATCCAATTCATTTATATCGAATTAATTACCAAATAATATACACTCAACATTGCTCGCGCAATCTGAACAACAAAATAATAACGTAATTGCAAAATAACATCGATAATAATGATAATTTAAAAAAAAGAATCCCGTGTGTTTGCTGTAATTGCGCTGCGCGTTTCTAATAGAAAATCCCAGAATGGCAAATCATCATCGACGCGTCCGCGTTATCTTGAAATCGTTTTTACACGTGATAGAGATACGGCAATCTGTAATTTTGTTCTTTTTCATGCCGATCATAACTCAAAGAGAAGTTATAGCACGTCTAGATGGCACGTGCATTTTCGAGAGGCGTGTGTGTTTCAAGTTATACATCTCTGTGCTATGTTCATATTTGTATAGGTAAATGTTTACACAGAGGTGTGATACTTGTGATACTCTTTAACAAGATTACTTCTCATACGTGTACAGAGAGAGAGAGAGAGAGAGAGGCGCTTAAATAGACAATTTTTAATTAAATTTCAAAAAAAAAATCTAAAAGAAAAGTCTAAAAAAAGCTTCGGTATAATTAAAATTATTACTAATTAAATATTGCTAATTAAATTCGTAATATTTAAAAGTTGAAGGAAAAATATTGTTGAAAAACTTTTGATATAAAAAATATAGATGAACGATTAAATTGAGAGTGTTGGACTTTTTTTTTTTTTTATCAAAAGAATCAATAATTTGGGCCGATGTTACTGCCGGCTTTCAGTAGTCAACCTAATCTATGTAGAGTTTTATCAGAGATAACGTTACCCGAGCTCCTATCTGAGAGAGAGAGGGAGCCATTTTTGTTCGATCATCTACAATATATAGGTGATCGATTTACGATACAATTCTTAGTAAAACGCAAGCAATCACACGGAAATCGCGTATATGTTTCGCGTTTCTAGTTTTTCTTCAACCAATAATAATCGTCAAAAAAAATAATATGTAACGTATGACACCAATCGGATAAATATTAATTGAAAAGTTCAAACACAAGATTCACCGTGTTGTATTCGAACTATAATAATAATAATAATAATAAGCTGCGCGCGTGCTGTTCTATCGTTGCTTCGAATTAGCGAATGATATTGTGAATTTTTTTAATTGATTCAAAATTTATCGGGCGAGAGTTTGCGCCGCAAACATCCAAGGGACAGGAAGTGGTGTTTTAGCGCGTAGAAGAAAGCGCGAGTTAGGTATTCGAGAAATGAGAGCATGTGAAATCACACGGACCTTTCGAGAAGGAAGTTACAAATGACGCTGAGATCGTGAAGGAATTCGTCTTCGGTTGATTTCCCTCTGATGTGTCCGTCCGGACGCGGTGCGTTTTTTTGACACAAATATAAGAATCGCGAAATCGCCGCCGACGACGGTTTCTCAACTTTTCTTTTTGCCGGGACTATAGAGGCCGTCCCGGAATCGGCAGAAAGAAAGTGAGAAAAAAAATGGCAATGAGTTACGACGACTGTTACGACGCCTCCTGGCATCTGATACCGCCGGATTACGTTAGCAACGAGGAGGATTACAGGTAAAGGAAATCTTCATTTCGGCGAAAAAAAAAAAAAAAAAAAACAGTGTCGAAAAATTATCGACGATAGAAGCGCGATTTGATTTTTCTGATTTTATTTTATTTGTGAAAACCGCGATATCGCGGTTTGCGTAACG